TCTACCATGACAAGAGTGGCCGCAAAAGATACAAAGGAATTCCCCAAGCTTTGCGCAAAAGCCAGCCCGAAGCTCAAGGCAGTTTGGGGTTCAAGTTCAATATGGCATACATTCTGATGCTCTCATGCCCTCATAGTTTTCCAATTGTTTCCTCCATGCATTAAGGGAATACCCTGTTGGCTTTGGGCTCCGCTTCGCACAAACAATGAAGCGCTTCCTCAAGGAGAGGTCACCTTTGCTGAGTCCTCATCCTGTCGCTTTGCAGCGTATATATACTACTTTTCTGATATTCCCAAGATGTATCCTGCAAGTAGCTGACTAGAGTTCTTGCCCTCCCCCCGTTGAAGTTCCTCAAATCCAAGAACTATGGAAGCCTAAGAATCAGATCCAAAGATCAGGCCCCCCTACCAAAATGGAGCCCCAAAGCTTTACTACCCTAGTTCCGCCAAGGCCCCCAGCCCAAATCATCTTCTCCCATGCCACGTCATGCCACAGCCGGAGATTGACGACCTATGGGCAGATGCCAAGATGGAAGAGGTGATCGAATACTTGGCCCGAGCATCCTCCCTGAGGGTCCCAAAGGGATGGGAAGGCTACTTCCCTCAGTTCCAGCCTAGGGCAGAGGGCTAGACCCGTGCATGCATGAGTCTTTATGGGGGTGCCACTTGACCCCGAAGCTTACGATAACGGTTCCGTCGCGGCCTTTGAGCGGAGAGTTGCAGAATCAAGAAAAATATCTAAAAATAGTACACAGTGGCAGTTTTTGGGGATAGTGACGTAAATACACAGTAAAGTGGCGTAAAAAACCGTAGGAATCCTACTCCAAAAATAGTACACTTTCACTAGCTTTTTGGGGTCGCCTCAAATCGGTCTCGGAATCGTACGAGTGGCTTGTACAATACTTGGCCACTGAAGCTGAGATCTCATGCTAATTCGAGTGGCGTTTCTGAACGCCCAAGATACATAGATGTATGGGAAAAGGTCCACGCGGTGAAAGTCAAATCCCAAACCAATGAGGGATATGGCCTGCAAGGATTGCTATGCACGCATGCATATGTGATTCTATTTGTGCGCCCAGGACTCAAGGCGGAAACGCAAGGGTTTTTTTGTGATTATAGATATATCCTATATAGGATGTTGACCCCTGAACGGCAATGGTCTTGCAGCACCTTGCTGCGTGGGAGCTCCTTCTTGGCAGAGCAAATGGCTGCCAACAAGAAGATGTCATATGACCAGATTGTTGCTGTTTCTAGGCTGCTGCATATTTCATGTGTATCCAACCGCATCTTGCTTTTCATCCTCTTGCGCACGCGCGTGCGTACCACGGCTCAGGCTGCCCGACAACGTCTTCAAACTTTGGCTGATCAAAAGCATGAACAGCCTGCATCAGCCAGCGAGGCGAAAGGTGTGGCGCCTGGTGGGAAGGGGAGCAGCGTGCCCATAGTTCTTTCTCCAACACCTGCTATGACACCTGTGACTCCCACCGCTCCAGCTGTTGGTGGAAAAGCTGCACTTGAAGACAAGGAGAGAAGTTTTCCCAACACCACCCTGTAGACCCATTGCATGGACTCCATCTTGCATGCTTGGGCTTTTGTCCGGCCTCTTCACTCATTTTTGGCAGTAGGTCAGCATGACACACCTCAGGACACTGCTGGTAAGGGTGCAGCAAAAGCCAAGGCTGCACCCAAAGCGGATGTGAAGGTGGGGTGGGGCTCCTCAAAAAATGAAAACAAGGCATGCCAACCTTCAAAAAACTTGAGATGAGCGTTTGCATGTTACCATGGCTGCCCCATGCTACCCCCCACTCAAAAGTATAGTTCCTCACTCGCAGGCTGATGAGGGTGAAGATCCAGGGCTTGCCGATACGAAGGCCGGTGAGTCGTCATGCATTCCTAAACTATAGATATGATATATTTTTGTATATACAACATATATATATATGCATATGAATATGTGCATCTTATATGTGTGGCTGTCGAACTTGAGACCCAGCGAATCACCGAGCGCCTTGCCAGGAGACAAGAAGATTGGAATCTATGCTGCGCCGCCTTTGCACCCCCAAGCCTGCCAGTGGTAAGCTTGAGGTTAGCCAGGAGATTTACCGACAGTGGAAGTGTGGTGGTGTTCAGCGACGGGCTTTGCTGGACACACTCATCGCATCAGGTGGTGACAAGGACTTGTACGCCCCATACGCACAGTTTACACATGCTTACTATCCTCCCCTCATATCTAGCACACAGTTTTCATTTGTGTTGACTTGGTGAGGGGATCATGCAACTTGGGATGTTGGTAGGATGCCTTCAAAAAGAAGATCGAGCACCTGCAGAAGCGAACCCGGAAGAACAAGTTTCATGTTGAACGAGGCTTCTACACAAAAGAGGCCATGGCAAAGGAACTCAAATGGAGCAAGTTGGTGTCCCAGCTTCCTTCCTTGCATGCAACCCTTTCATGCTAAATACTGCGTCTCTACCATGTGTGACACTGTTTCTCATTCCCATGCCTGCATGTCTCCCTTCAATCCTAGGAACAGAATCAAGGAAGCTGTGGCATACTGTTCTCATCCTTCCAGGGTCAAGACCCATGTAAGGCCTGGCTTCTTATGTTTTGAGTTTTTGGTGACTTTCCGTGGTATAGGGGCGCAGCGCAACAAAACAAACCTTGTTGAGTCCATTTGGTCCAATAACAGCTTCAACCGGCCCCTTCATGGTTGGTTTCAGGCGCGATCTTTACGAAAAGAAGATCAAGGAGTA